GAGGAGGAGAAGGAGAGGGAGAGTGGGAGATAATGGATCGGAGAAAGGAGAGAGGAGAAGTAGGAGGAGAGGAGGAGAGGAAGGGAGGAAGTAGAGAGAAAGAGGGTAGGAAGAGGAGGAAGAGAAGGAGGGATGGAGATAACGGAACGCAGAGAGGAGAGAGGAAGACGAGAGAAGGAGGATGGGAAGAGGAGGAGAAGAGGGAGGAAGAGAGATACCGGATCGAAGGAAAGAGGGAGGAAAAGGAGAAAAGGAGGAACAAGAGGAAGGGAGATGACGTTAAGAGGGAGGAAGGAGAATAGAATGGTAGAAAAAGGAGGAGGCAAGGAGAAGATAATTGGGGAGAGAGAGGACAAAGGGAGGGCAAAAATAGGAGAAAGGGAAATAGGAGGGGTGAAAAGATGATGATTGGGAAGGGGGAAAGAGAATTACGTATGAAGCGAAGGGGGGGAGAAGATAGGAGAACAGAAAGAGAAGGAAGGAACGAAAAGACGGAGATTTGGATAGATAAGGAGCAAGGGAATAGAGAGAATGGGGAGAAATAAAGAAGGAAAAAAAGGAGATAGTAAAAAGAGGATGCGGGCAGAAGAAAGAGAATGAATGAACAAGGACAAAGGAATATGAAGAAGCGGTATGAAAAAAAAAAAAACACGAGAAAAGGATGAGAGTTTGGAAGAGCACAAAGGCAAAAGAGAGCAGGAGAAGGAGAGGGCGAGGAAGAAAGGAAAAGAGGAAGGTAAAAAGGAGGAACGACGCACAAAAAAAAAGAGGAGGAGGCGAAGGATGGAAGAAGAGGAGAGAGTAACAAAGGTTATCCTCTGTATCCTTAAACTGTCTGAGGGGAAATGATCAGGTTACACTAAGAGGGGAAGAGGAAGTGGAGCAAAATGGAATATCTTGTTTACTTTCTAGTTTTCCTCTAACTTTTCCCTTCTCTGCTGAAGGCTGGGGCAGAAGGGAGTCATAACCGTTAGAACATCAGCGGAAAGTGAAGAAGAATAAGGCAAAAGGGGAAAGATGTGATGAATAGGGGGGGGGGAACTCGATGTAGGGATATTTCGAAGGAATGGGAGATGAGGAATGAGAGAAACTGAGGAAGAAGTGAAGCACGAGAGAAGGGTCTGGAAGGAAACAATGATTATGGGGGTAAGAGAAGAAAAAAAGAGTAACAATAATGAAAGAGAGACAGACAGACAGACAGGTGGATGAATAGCTGGTGACAGATAGACACACACACACACACTTACACAAACACAAATACCTACGCATGCACAAACACACATTCTTACACACAAAAACACAAACACACACACTTACACATACACGCACAAGCAAATAAACACTTACATACACAAACACACACACTTACACACACAAACACGGTAGAAAGTAGAAGTATGGGAAAGGGGTAACGAGGGAAGGAGAGGGACGAAGAAAAGGGGAAAAAATGGTCCTCAAACTCGAACAGGAGAAGATCGGGTTACACTGAGGGGAAGCATCTCGTTGAAAGAATATGGCAACGTCTATTTTTGTACGAGGGCGAGAATGAGAGAGGGGAAAAGGAGCAAGAGGGGGAGAGCAAGAGAGCAGCGAAGGAGATAGAGAGAGAGATTGATGCGAGGGAGGAAGAGAGGGAGGGAAGGCGATGGGAGAGAGAAGGAAGAGAGAGAGAGGGAGGGAGGGAGAGAGAGAGAGAGAGAGAGAGAGAGAGAGAGAGAGAGAGA